AAAACGCTGCCTCTGTCCCAGCAACGACGCCTTTCCTCTCTCCTTCACCCCAGCGAAATGGCACCCCGAGCAAGGAAAATACTGGCAAACACGACCTCAACGGCAATACCCATCAGCCAGCTTGCGAGCAATAGGACGACACCGATAAACATACCTAAAAGCGTTGACCTACGAGGGCCCTTGCCAGCTTCGTTGAGCAAGTGTTTTTGAGGTAAAGGGCGGGCGTCAGCTTTCCGCCTCCGAGAAACAGAATAAATCCGGCGCCCCGCGGCAACCAATCACCCCGCCGGGACTTTTCAGTAGCGACAGCGTACAATCGATATCTATTGAAGNGTTGAGCAAGTGTTTTTGAGGTAAAGGGCGGGCGTCAGCTTTCCGCCTCCGAGAAACAGAATAAATCCGGCGCCCCGCGGCAACCAATCACCCCGCCGGGACTTTTCAGTAGCGACAGCGTACAATCGATATCTATTGAAGTCCGTTAGGCCGGGGAGGTTTGGACAAAAAACAATTCACAGGAGAGAATATGCACCTTCCACAAGAACCAATTATTGGTCCTCACCTCTAGACCTGGACTCGGTTGCTCGACGCACCGCCCTGCCGTCTCGTCCGGGAGGCCCTCTCCTCGGCCAAGGCCCCGGGCCTCCGCTGGCCGACGAAGACCCCTGCGGTTGTCCTCGCCTCGTCCGAGAACCGTAGCAGCGCGTCGGTTTCCGCGCGACGCTGCTCGTTGGCGGCCTTCCTCCACTCCTCTAGGCCGTCCCTCCACTCTTCCAACCTGGACACCCTTCGCGCCAGCGCCTCCGACGCGCTGCTGCTCGCCGCCGACTCGTAGCCCCATCACTCCTCGTCTTTCAAGTGTTGCAGCCGCAGCCACTCTCCCCCCGCCTCGATGATGGGCTGCAGCCTCTCCATCCTCACGTCGATTTCACGCAGGTCTGCCATCGCTGCCCGCCAGTGGCATCTGTTGGCGCTCTCCTTCTCCGCCTCGCCCTCGATGGTACCCTCAAGCCGCGCGTCGGCCTCCCGGCGGGCCCGCTCGTGCGGCGAAGCGTTTTCGTAGGCGACCTCGCGCTCGAAGTGCGAGTTCTCGGCAGACAGGTGGAATCGCCGAGCTCGGACCTCCTCGTCCACCACCTCTTCCTTGCTCTCCTCGTTGCCCGCCACGGCGAGCGCACGGTGCGGGCGTTGCGGAGTCCTAGCTCTACTGTCCTCACTTCCGCTCCCGCTACTCGCCCGACCGNTTCACGCAGGTCTGCCATCGCTGCCCGCCAGTGGCATCTGTTGGCGCTCTCCTTCTCCGCCTCGCCCTCGATGGTACCCTCAAGCCGCGCGTCGGCCTCCCGGCGGGCCCGCTCGTGCGGCGAAGCGTTTTCGTAGGCGACCTCGCGCTCGAAGTGCGAGTTCTCGGCAGACAGGTGGAATCGCCGAGCTCGGACCTCCTCGTCCACCACCTCTTCCTTGCTCTCCTCGTTGCCCGCCACGGCGAGCGCACGGAGGCGGGCGTTGCCGAGTCCTAGCTCTACTGCCCTCACTTCCGCTCCCGCTACTCGCCCGACCGCCGCGACCTCGATCCCTTGCGATCGGGCTCGAGAACGGGGTGTCTCGTGCGTTATTACCTCGGGAGCCCGGTCAGCGGCGCTCAGGAGTTCTGCGCTCGCCTCCGTGTACCTCGCGATAGCGAGATCTACGCTCGCCACCCTCTCGAGGGCCCTGTTGATGAGGTCGTCGTCATTGTTGCCCTCGTTCGTTGTCTCTGCTCCCGCCGCGGAGAAGCCTGCGCTTGTAGCAAGCGACGCGGCTCTCGATTCGGCGACAGTGGCGTCAGTCAACCCCCTAAGGTCTTGGCTGAGTGCCTCCGCAGCCGCATATCGGGTGTCCGCTGCCGCTCGGTATTCGGCATACTTCAGCTCTCCCTACTTGACACTCTCTACGGCATCCGCTGCGATTTGTTTTGCTTCGGCCGTCTGTTGGCAAGACCGGACGAGCTCCTGTTCGAGACTTTGTTCCCTGCTGTCCGCCGTCAGACGTGTCTCGGCGA